TCCAGAGAAGATTCCCCAGAAGTGGTTTTCATGGAACAATTGTGGCCAAAAAGACATACCCGTGACGTGGAAACAAGGCTAAGCAACTCAACTATGCATGAAAACATGAACTGGGTTGCAGAAAAATGGCAACAGGTGCTCTGGACAAATGAGTCAAATTTTTAAATATTTTACTTTTGCAGTAAAATATTTGGCAGTTTGTTCACCAAAGTGCTGTAGAACACTACAATAATGACTGTCTGAAGGCAACAGTGAAACAGTGAAGCATGTTGGAGGTTCTTTGCATGTTTGGAGCTGCATTTCTGCAAATGTAGTTGGGGATTTGGTCAGGATCAGTGGTGTCCTCAATGCTGAGAAATACAGGAAGATACTTATCCATCATGCCATACCATCAGGAAGGTGTGTGATTGGCTTCAAATATTTTCTGCAGTAAGAGAATGATCTCAAGATCATCAAGTCTGTCTATGATTACATGAAGAGACAGGAGGATTTGAGGCAGCCTACATCCACTGAAGACCTGTAGTTAGTTCTCCAAGATGTTTAGATCAACTTACCTGCCGAGTACTTTCAAAAACTGTGTGCAAGTGTACCTAGAAGAATTAATGATGTTTGAAGGCAAAGTGTGGTCACACCAAATATTGTTTTGATTTTGGATTTCTCTTCTGGTCATTTACTTACCATTTTGTTAATTGATAAAAATAAACTATTAACACTTCTATTTCTGAAAGTATTCCTAATTTACAGCATTTTTTCACAGTAGCGTATATCTTGGGAATTGTACCAGGACCCAACATTTACTTTCGTATGTGGTGCAACAAGTATATTTAGCAGCAGGGTGCTATACAGGTCCCGTGGTCCAATCCTATGGCACCTAGACCTTGAAGACCCCTTCAGGGGTATGTACACTGTGATGGGTGAAGTTTGGTTACCTCTGGGAACTTGCAGCAGGGATAAGGTGTCCTTGTAATTATGATTGAGTTCTGTTTTTACATGTGCAGTGTTATCCCACTCTGTAAAAGTATCTGCTACATTGGCAGTAGTTATTGTTTATATAACGTTTTATTTTTTTTTAAATTTGGTGGGTGGAAAAACCCACCAAATTTAAAAAAAAAAATGGGAAAACATCAGCGTTGCTGCTTGGGTGGCGATGTACAGTAGTTACAATAGGCTTTATGTTGATGTATTCCACTTGCTATTTCTGCTGAGAACACAAGAAACATGAGGGCAGATCTCCCAACTGCCTGCTTTTCCAGAGACTCATCAGCAGGACATCGGTCTGCACCTGGGTTATCGTGGCCCACAGGGGATCCCCTCACTTAAGAGTGGCAGAGGTGAAATGCAGAGGAACTGAGAAAAAGGGCCTAATAGCACTTGTGCTGCAGATGGCACAGAGGATAATGAGTAAAATGCTTAAGGTGATAGCTGCTCCTTTGCACCAGAACAAGGTCACATATATTCATACAGCTCCCTTTCGATTACTCTAGCTCTTTCCCATGCCCAAAACAGATGACCTTTCTAACTACGGCAGATTTCACTGCAACTGTGTCTGATTTCTTTGGAAAATTATTTGCCCTTTTAGAACCTTTGGTCTCTAGGGCTTAAAAGCACTCTTTTGCCTCCCTACCACCTGAGAATATTCAGGTGCATGACCCTAAACGTCCTAATCTCTTTGAAGACTATATTTAGAAAGAAAAGGTGGATGCAGAAGAGCATCCTGAAGATCAATTAAGGAGTGGAAGCTAACACTTCATGCTATATACCTCCTACTGTCAGCTCACTTATTGATGCAGGGCATACCAGTCTTGCCTAGTGACAATAGCATCTCCCCAGCATAAACAAGCTCCTCTGAGCACAAAAGTGCTGGTGAAGTGTAGAAAGACCTTTCCTTTTGCACACAAACATTAACTGTGCTTTGCGTGCGGATTGACCAAATCCTGAAAATGTTATCCTTCCTCTGAAGGAGGAAAAGGAATTTATGAACAAGTGGTCTTTCCTGGTATTGGCAAATGGATAGAGTGCACGATCCTATGTTTGAGGACCATATACTGCTGGAACAAATGCAACTGATGCCTGTGTCAGTGCCCTAGAGAATGTAATTTGCCAGGTCTCTCTAGGATGACACTGTTTGGTTTGCTAAACCTGCTTGCAAAAGGTGTCTTTTACGCATGCCTTTTAATGATGAATGTCTGTTTGCTTAACCCCTGACAGGGAGTTGCTCGTGTCAGTCCCCCACTTTACCTCCCGTGTCTCCCTGGGATTTGATTTTGGTACTTTTGGTTCTTCAAAGACCTCCTGTCAGGGCTCCCGGGTATGACCAGAGGTGTGTGACTGACGCAGGGAAATGCAGACTTCAGATAAGTTATAAACAATTTATTAACACTAACAATACAAACATAAACGCAGTGCAATACTAAAACATAACACAGTGCAAACGAACCAAACCAAACCACCCACAGATAATAGTACATACAGTGCAAGCGTCGTCAGGCAGGCCGGGTCAATATCAATCGGGCAGGTAGGTACAGGGGGAGCAAGCGGAGAATAGTCAGGTCACGAGCAGGGTACAGCAACTAACAGGCAGGTAGGTACAGGGGGTCAGGCAGAGAATGGTCGGGGTCACAAGCCAGGGATCAGAACAGGAGAAGTCAGCAGAGGTCAGAATCAAGCCGGGGTCAGCAACAAGACAGGAGCAGGATGCAGGAACAAGATACAGGGCCCAGGAAAAACACAACACCAAGGTCGAGTCTGCAGGTCTGAATGTCCCTTAAATACAGCAGTATAATTAGTTCCAGGTTTTTGACTGGCTGCAAGGTTGAGTCTCTGATTGCTGGGAGCACCCGCTGGCCAGCCCTGGTACTGCAGCTCACAAGGCAGGTGAGTCCCACTATTGCTGGCCAGTCCATTCCTGACAGTACCCCCCCCCTCAAGGAGCAGCCTCAGGACGCTCCAAACAGTCCTAGCTGGGCAAAAAGTTCCACCGCCCGGGTCTGGTAACTGGCGGGATATCAAATACTGGCACACCGGGCAGGACTCCGGGCAGCGGCACACCGGGCAGGGGCACACCGGGCAGGGCACACCGGGACTCCGGGCAGAGGCACATCGGGCTGGACTCCGGGCAGAGGCACATCGGGCTGGACTCCGGGCAGAGGCACATCGGGCTGGACTCCGGGCAGAGGCACATCGGGCTGGACTCCGGGCAGAGGCACTCCGGGCAGAGGCACACGGGCTGGACACCGGGCAGAGGCACATCGGGCTGGACTCCGGGCAGAGGCACATCGTGCTGGACTCCGGGCAGAGGCACATCGGGCTGGACTCCGGGCAGAGCAGGCACATCGGGCTGGACTCCGGGCAGAGGCACATCGGGCTGGACTCCGGGCAGAGGCACATCGGGAGATTACCAGGTGCAACAGCAGCAGCAGGCACCGGGCCCCCAGGCGGGGCGACAGGCATCGGGGCCCCCCGGCGGGGCGACAGGCATCGGGCCCCCAAGCGGAGCGGCGGGCGCCGGACCCCCAGGCGGGGGCGACAGGCATTGGGCCCCCAGGCGGGGGCGACAGGCATCCGGCCCCCCGGCGGGGGCGACAGGCATCGGGGCCCCCAGGCGGGGCGACAGGCATCGGGCTCCCAGGCGGGGCGACAGGCATCGGGCTCCCAGGCGGGGCGACAGGCATCGGGCCCCCCGGCGGGGCGACAAACATCGGGCGCCGGGCCCCCAGGCGGGGCGACAGGCATCGGCCCCCAGGCGGGGGGCGACAGGCATCGGGCCCCCCCAGGCGGAGCGACAGGTCTCGGGCCCCCAAGCGGAGCAGCAGGCGCCGAACCCCCAGGCGGAGCGACAGGTCTCGGGCCCCCAGGCGGAGCGGCGGGCGCCAGACCCCCAGGCGGAGCGACAGGTCTCGGGCCCCCAGGCGGAGGAGCGGCGGGCGCCGGACCCCCAGGCGGAGCGACAGGTCTCAGGCTCCCAGGCGGAGCGACAGGTCTCAGACCCCCCAGGCGGAGCGGCGGGCGCCGGACCCCCAGGCAGAGCGACAGGTCTCGGGGCCCCCAGGCGGAGCGGCGGGCACCAAGTCACCAGGCACGACAGTGGGCACCGAGTCGTCTGGCAAGACTGCGGGCACCGAGTCTCTGGCAAGACTGCGGGCACCGAGTCGTCTGGCAAGACTGCGGGCACCGAGTCGTCTGGCAAGACTGCGGGCACCGAGTCGTCTGGCGGAACAGCGGGGCATCGAGTCAACTGGCAAGACTGCGGGCACCCGAGTCGTCTGGCAAGACTGCGGGCACCGAGTCGTCTGGCGGAACAGCGGGCATCGAGTCGTCTGGCGGAACAGCGGGCATCGAGTCGTCTGGCGGAACAGCGGGCATCGAGTCAACTGGCAAGACTGCGGGCACCGAGTCGTCTGGCAAGACTGCGGCACCGAGTCGTCTGGCAAGACTGCGGGCACCGAGTCGTCTGGCAAGACTGCGGGCACCGGGTCACCAGGCATTGGATCGTCTGGCTCGACAGCGGGCATCGGGTCACCAGGCACGACAGTGGACTCTGACTCAATTGGCACGACAGTGGGCACCCGGGTCATCAGGTCCCGGATTGTCTGGCTCGACAGCGGGCATCGGGTCACCAGGTATGACAGCGGGCACTGGGGTCACCAGGCATCAGGTCATTTGGCTCGCGCCAGCGTTCACCACGTCATCTGGCAAGGCAGTGGGCACCGAGTCACCAGGCACGACAGTGGGCACCGAGTCGTCTGGCAAGACTGCGGGCACCGAGTCGTCTGGCAAGACTGCGGGCACCGAGTCGTCTGGCAAGACTGCGGGCACCGAGTCGTCTGGCAAGACTGCGGGCGGGCACCGAGTCGTCTGGCAAGACTGCGGGCACCGAGTCGTCTGGCGGAACAGCGGGCATCGAGTCAACTGGCAAGACTGCGGGCACCGAGTCGTCTGGCAAGACTGCGGGCACCAAGTCGTCTGGCGGAACAGCGGGCATCGAGTCGTCTGGCGGAACAGCGGGCACCGAGTCGTCTGGCGGAACAGCGGGCACCGAGTCGTCTGGCAAGACTGCGGGCACCGAGTCGTCTGGCAAGACTGCGGGCACCGAGTCGTCTGGCAAGACTGCGGGCACCGAGTCGTCTGGCAAGACTGCGGGCACCGAGTCGTCTGGCAAGACTGCGGGCACCGGGTCACCAGGCATTGGATCGTCTGGCTCGACAGCGGGCATCGGGTCACCAGGCACGACAGTGGACTCTGACTCAATTGGCACAACAGCGGGCACCGGGTCATCAGGTCCCGGATTGTCTGGCTCGACAGCGGGCATCGGGTCACCAGGTATGACAGCGGGCACTGGGTCACCAGGCATCAGGTCATTTGGCTCGCTAGCGTTCACCACGTCATCTGGCAAGGCAGTGGGCACCGAGTCACCAGGTACGACAGCGGGCTCTGAGTCAATTGGCACGACAGCGGGCACCGGATCATCTGGATCAACAGCGGGCATCGAGTCAACTGGCCTAATAGGATCATCAGGCTGGATCAGTTCATTATGCTGGGTAGAAGCATCCGGCTGAGTAGAGGCATCCGGCTGAGTAGAGGCATCAGGCTGAGTGGAGGCTTCAGGCTGAGTGGAGGCTTCAGGCTGAGTGGAGGCTTCAGGCTGAGTGGAGGCTTCAGGCTGAGTGGAGGCTTCAGGCTGAGTGGAGGCTTCAGGCTGAGTGGAGGCTTCAGGCTGGGTGGAGGCTTCAGGCTGGGTGGAGGCATCAGGCTGAGTGGAGGCATCAGGCTGAGTGGAGGCATCAGGCTGAGTGGAGGCATCAGGCTGAGTGGAGGCATCCGGCTGAGTGGAGGCATCCAGGCTGAGTGGAGGCATCCGGCTGAGGGGAGGCATCCGGCTGAGGGGAGGCATCCGGCTGAGGAGAGGCATCGGCTGAGGAGAGGCATCCGGCTGAGGAGAGGCATCAGGCTGAACCACGGAAGGCAGGTTCTCAGATGGTAGGCTCACCGGTTTGGATACTGGCAGGATGGTACTGGTTGGAAAGAATTTTCGCTTTTTTTTTCTGGTTTTAACTACTGGGGCACTGCAAGTAAACACAGGTCTGCAAATGAATGGAGCAGCTGGAGACAGAGAAGAGCTGGAGGATGAAACAGGGGAAGGAACAGTCGCTACAGAGGGCTTCTTTACAGGGTTAAAGGCAGGATAGGTGCAGCGAGTGGGAACAGGGTACTGACATGCGGTAGATAGCCAAGTATACTGGGCTGTAACTGGAGGAGCTGTTGGGAATACAGGAGTAGAGCTTTGAGGAGATAGATTAGAAGCAGGACTGGGTCTTTGTAAGCTGACTGAGGCTGGGTGTAACAAATCTGTCCATGTCTGCAGTATGGGTTGAACAAAGCTGAGCTTACACAAAGCCTGTCTGACCAAAGACTGCACTGCGTTTATACAATCTCTTAGTACCTGTGGTGAACATGTGGAATAACGCTCCAGAAAGTAACCCACATCATCCTCTAATAACCATACCAGGGACTCTACCTGGTCGGCACTAAATGGTGGCAAAAATTCATCCCTGCATTTGGGGGAACCAGAAGAAACCAACTCAGCACAAACCTCAATCAATGGCTGCACCTCAGAGAATTCTGTGCCCTGATCTACTAGAACATGAGCGAGCCGTATACATTCTAGCAGTTCATCCCGGGTATACTCCTTCAGAGTTTGATAAGCATACTCCCTGTCATCAAACACTAGCAGATATAAATACGCAACCTCATCCAGATCCATCCTTCCCATCAACAAACCAAGATGGCTTCCCTGTGCAGCCACTTCTGGTCAGGATTGGCCTTGGTGTAATGTCAGGGCTCCCGGGTATGACCAGAGGTGTGTGACTGACGCAGGGAAACGCAGACTTCAGATAAGTTATAAACAATTTATTAACACTAACAATACAAACATAAACGCAGTGCAATACTAAAACATAACACAGTGCAAACGAACCAAACCACCCACAGATAATAGTACATACAGTGCAAGCGTCGTCAGGCAGGCCGGGTCAATATCAATCGGGCAGGTAGGTACAGGGGGAGCAAGCGGAGAATAGTCAGGTCACGAGCAGGGTACAGCGACTAACAGGCAGGTAGGTACAGGGGTCAGGCAGAGAATGGTCGGGGTCACAAGCCAGGGATCAGAACAGGAGAAGTCAGCAGAGGTCAGAATCAAGCCGGGTCAGCAACAAGACAGGAACAGGAGCAGGATGCAGGAACAAGATACAGGGCCCAGGAAAAACACAACACCAAGGCCGAGTCTGCAGGTCTGAATGTCCCTTAAATACAGCAGTATAATTAGTTCCAGGTTTTTGACTGGCTGCAAGGTTGAGTCTCTGATTGCTGGGAGCACCTGCTGGCCAGCCCTGGTACTGCAGCTCACAACGCAGGTGAGTCCCACTATTGCTGGCCAGTCCATTCCTGACACCTCCTTTTGAATGGATTTGAGATATCCCATAGGGGAATCTCATCAGTAAGGTGACTTTTTTGGTGGCCATTACCTCCATCAAGCGTGTATTTGAGTTGGGGTCTGTTTCTTGTAACAAACTTTTTTTTTTTTCTTCTTATGTAGAGACAAGGTGCTCCTGAAAACCAGACCCTTTTTTTCCTCAATGTGGTCTATTATTTTCTTATAAATTAGGACATTATCATCCCTTCCCTAGGTTCTGCCCCAAAAAACACACCAAGGATATTTCACTTTACTGCGTGGATGTCATCAGAACAGTTGGGGTCTACTTAGCTGCTGCATTTTCCTTCAGAAAAGCTGAGTCCCCTTTTGTCATCCCTAAATGTTATAAGAATGAACATCCTGTTTCTTCTTTTACCATTGTTAGGTGGCTCAGGCAGCTCATTTCCAGGGCTTATGCCCTGAAAGGAAAGGGTCACTCCCTTCTCTATCAGGGCTCAGTCCACTAGAACTGTCAGTGTTTCCTGGGCATCAAGCATTCGTTTTGCAGGTTTGCAAGGCCGCTACTTGGCCTTCTGTTCATACCATCTCAAAGTTTTACCAAATGGATCTCTGCCAATTCATGCTTCAGTCACAAGATGCTTCAAGCTGTCGTCTTAAGTGTTTCAGTTGTTGACCTTTATTTTTTGTGGACCTGTTTGCTATGTTGTTGCCTATCCCTCAGTTATTGCTTGGGGATGCCACACAGTCTGTGTGTCTAGAGTCCTATGTCCAATAGTGTATAGGATAATGGGAATTTTGACATACTGGTAAATTCTATAATTTGGGAGTACAGTACAGAGAGACAGGTCCCTCCCCTCCATCCTCGATTTCTTCTTATTGCTTGCTGCAAAATTGAAGTTCTACGGAATAGTTGGGGTGTTACGAATATGCCCAGGAGGCATTCCCAGTAAATCTTTAGCCAGTGTCCAGTTACTGGAAGGTAGCGGCATATTACCAATGGTGTTTGAATACAAGTGTCAGGGATCGCCGCAGCGCTGGTCCCGGCGCATGCACATTAGGCCTTCTCATGCAGGGATGCGGGCGCTAGGTCCTGGCCCGCCGCGGCTGAGATGAAGTCCGTGCATGTGCACTCGGAGCCGCAAGTGCGCGCCTGGCACCAATGACACCGCGGGGCGCGATATTTAAATCCGCCATGCGCTGACAGGAATTGCCGAATGGTCTTTCCTGTATCCTGATCCTGTACCTGTGTTTTCTGATTACTGCTGCTGACCCGGATTGATTGACTTGCTGTATTCTCCTGCCCTGACCCTTGGCTTGCCTGACCTCTCTCCTGGATGCCCCTTTATGGATCTGACCTTCTGTTGCTGACCTGGCGTGTGACCCGACCATTCCTTGCCTGCTGCTTTGTACCGCACCGACCCCCCGGCTACCGACTCGGCTTGTCTGACCTAGCTTTAGCTCATCCATCCGTCCATCTCACTGGGACCCCCCCGGTCTCCTCACATCAGACTCTTACCCTGCGGGAGCCTCTGGCGGACTCCTCTACCACTGGTGGGTATACCCGGTAGTCGCGACCTGGTCTCGGAGCGCTCCAAGTCCATCCCCACCATCAGGGGCCCTGGTGAACAAGTGCTCCGGAACTTAGACTCCGGGGAAGCCTGACCAGTGGGTTGCTAGAGGTGCTGTCAGGTGGTCCCTTACAACAAGTCTTAATTTCCGTTTTTTAAGGATGCACTGTATTTTTAAAGCTGAATTTCAGGTATGGTTTTTTAAAGCATAATTAGACTGATCTAGCTTGGACAGAGTAAGTTTACATGTGCCATACCTATGGGATCCCTGTTGAAGCTAGAAGGCATATTGTAGTAGTCTCTGCTACTACAGTGATCACTGCTGTCTTCTGGGTCCCATACTGAGCAGCTGCATAGTAACCACAGGAGTTTGCTTACTTGGCAGTGCGAGCACCATTAACAGAATGCCTTTTCTTTTTTCAATGAATGCAAGGCTCCACCTAATCCACTGAGAAAACACCTTGCATTCATTGAGAAAAATGCAAGGTGTTTTGTGAATGGGGTTCGTGCCACCAAGTGGGCAATCCCCTGTGGTTACTTTGTAGCAGGACAGCCATTCAACAAGGGACCTAGAAACCAGCAGCAGTCACTGTAGTAGCAGTGACTACTACAGTGATTTCCAGCTTTCAAACAGATCCCACAGGGATACCATTTGCATACTTGCATTGTTCCAAGCTGGACCATTGTAACTATGCTATAAAATCCAATTTACTTTAGTAAACACCTACTTTATTTTTATAATTTTTTCATCTTTCTGGAAGTCAGCTTTAAGTTAATTTTACATTCACATAGACTTCTGTGCAGAAGAAAAAGCAATCCAAGAGTATTTGTATCTAAGTGACCTTGATAGTCCACAGCCATTGTAAAGTTGAGGAATTTAGGTATGGTGAATTCCACCTTAAGATTGTTACTCTCAGGGCTTTTTTTCTCAGAAAATAGGTGCAGGAACCTACCCTTCCCAGTAAACTTCCCGCGCCCAATCCTGCCATTCCTGGGGAAAGAGAAATAATGGGTGTGGTCAAGGATATCTTTCCCTCCCCCCATCCACGGCCCACCTTGTACCTCAGCACCCTATCCACAGGACACCTTCTCTACCCCCCATCCACAGGTCACCTTCTTCCCCTGTCCCCAGCTCACCCTGTCCCCCCCACATATACACAGCTCACCCTCTGCCGCTTCCACAGCACACCCCCCCCCCCTTCTAGAGCACACCCTTTCCCCTCCACCCCATCCACAGCTCACTCTCTTCCACCCCCCCCCCCATCCACAGCTCACCCTCTCCACCCCCCAGCTCCCCCTCTCTCCTCCTCCACATTTCACCTCCCTCCCTGTCCACAGCTCACCTTCTGCCCCCTGTCCACAGTTCACCCCCCCACCTGCCCCCCTATCCACAGCTCACCCTCCCCCCTGTCCACAATCTGCCCCCTGTCCACAGTTCACCCCTCCACCTTCCCCCCTATCCACAGCTCACCCCCCCCCTGTTCACAGTTTACCCCCCTCA